GAATTACTCCTCCTACCTGGTTGAACTTTTAGGATGAAACATCGGATCTTAACACGGTATCAGATCCAAATTGATCCATGATGTAGGGGCCCCTTATGAAAAATGATGAACCGATGAAAAATTGAATGACGAAACGATCTCTATGAAGTGTCTGGACGTGAGAAGGGGTGTTAAAGTCCTACACCGAAAATCTCTGAAAGAATTAAACACTATATTAAGATTTGAGTTACTCCTAATATCAGGTTGACTTTTTAGGATGGACCCCCAGAAGCAGTATGTGTAAAGTCATTTTCCGTCTATAACACATATTTCCTCATTTATTATTGGGAAAACTGTCAATTTAGTCCTCATACTTTCATGAAAAAGTTAATTAGAACCTCATACTTTTATAAAAATCAATCAAATCCCCGAACTTTGTAAAAATGTTCAATTGAGTACAATTGAGCATATGAGGCTGACTGGACTTCCACACGTGTGCCACGTCAGCAAAATTATTGATGAATGGGCTGTCACATGTGCGCCACGTCAGCGGGTGACATGTTGACGTGACGAATAACCTACAAATGGGCTCAATTGAATGTTTTTACAAAGTTCGGGTATTTGATTGATCTTTTTAAAACTATAAGGACCTAATTGATTTATTCATGAAAGTATGTACGAGGATCAAATTGACAGTTTTTTCTCCCACGGTCATTTTTTTGTTTGTGCGGGACATCTAGTTTTGTACAATTAGATTTTCTCCCATAGACGTTTTATCTTTTGCCTCAATTAATAGATAAAAGTTTCCTATGTAAACAAAAGATTACCACTATAATTGATGATTCTTTGATGGTAGATACTCTACTCCGTGTCAATACTTAATAATGTGGTCTAGGCAACGGCTATATGAGGCAACTCCGGGTGCGGTTCAGTCAACGAAAACATATGGTTATGAACCAATAAAGTATTGGTCGTTGTAAACGTTATAAATGAACTTGTGATATGGGTCCCACGCTCAGTGCAACCCACCTCATTTTTTTGTAGCCTTCTTAAATTATGATATTGGTAATTGGAGATGTTTTTTACCCCCTGAAGTTTGCTCAATTTTAAGTAACATCTGGCTTTGAGTAAATAGAGGTTATCTACATCTACTTCAAATTTACTAGTACAAAAGTGAAAATTTTAAACATATCTTTAATATTTTAAAGACGAAATAAAAACTTTTTTGGTGCAATCAAATAAAGAAATGGACAAAATTTAGTAAGACAATGTGAGTACTTTTAAAATTAGTGGAAATTTTTGTTTAAAGATGTGTATTTGGTCATTTCTTTTTATTTATCTTTACTATTTTCATGTTCGGGTCATTTTATTTTAAGAGAATATTCAAATCCCAAAGAGTGATCTCCCATCAAGGGAGGACCTACCTTATTACAAATTCAATTTATTTTTTTTTCAATTATTTTAGTGTGATTTTTCTCTTTTGTCATGGTTAGCTTATCCTCTAAAGTTTAATGTTAGTATAATCTCTCTTTAGTTTAGTTCAATTCGCATTTCTGGATCCGCCCCTGTAGCTCGTTTGAACATATATGATCTTCAATTATCATGATATATATACGGCCCTACCAGGGGCGGATGTATGCTAGGCCAGGGGTGGGCTTCAGCCCAGCCCAATTTTTTTTTAATAGTATTGGTACATTTTCAAATCTCAGCTCAGCCTAAATTATTTGTCAGCCCACCCCACAAATAATTTGTGAATCAGTGATGTTATGAACTTCTGTCGTGAATTTGTAAACTGTGATTAACCGATTGTGTATTAAACTATTAATGTATTAATTATTATTATTTTTAGCATTTTAGAGTTTTAGGGCTAGGGAATCATACAATCATTTTGAGTATTAATTGAATTTTTCGGTACATAATTAAATAGTTTTATTTTTTATATATAAGTATTTTAATATATACCAATATTGAAAATGTTTTTTAGAATGGATAATGAACATGTTGCCAAGAAGGGAAAGAAGTTGATTTCATCATTCTTTTCGAAAGTGAATCGTCAAACTGGTGAAGGGAGTTCTGAACTTATACCTACAACAGTGCAAGATCTAGTCAATGAGGATTCTCCACATGTTGTAGTCCCTGAAATCCAAACTATCTCAAATTTGGATTTCAATGCTCGATAGACATGCTCGAATGTAGAAGTTTAGACTATTCTCGTTAATAGATTCATGTTCAAATTATTCAATAAGTATTCACATTTTTATTAATCATTAGTAAATTTATAAAAATTGCACTAAAACGTTTAAATTTTATGATATGTAAAATAGTATAATTTATATGTGAACGATATGCTCGTGTTCAGATCGAAACATCACTATGTTCGATCTCGGCTTGAATAATTATTCAAACTCAAAACCTACTCCGTGTTCGAGTTCGAAACTTGTTAAACTCAATTCATTAAATTAGATTCGAAATCAAGCTCGAACTCGAGTATATAATTCAAAAAAATCTTTGTTCGATAACAACCATGAGCTAAATTTGGTATGTATAGTAAAAAAAATTACTTCTGCTTAGCCCACCCCATCTCTCGATCCTGGATCCGCCCCTGGGCCCTACTATAGGAGAATCCCTTAGCTTGGCGTTTCAATTTTAATCAAAATATGAGGTTTCACATAATCAAAACATGAGCTGAGATTCATTCAAGTTATTGATAAATAATTATGTAGTTATGCATCGTTTAAAGATATTCCTAGACGTTCCATGCATGATGCATGTATAATGTTACTATTGAGTATTGAATGTGTACTTTTTTCATTTCTATATTTTGTCATGTTAGCATATTTCAATTGTTGTCAACTTCTTATCCTTAAAAATTGTTGCTTTTGTTTTAAAGTACGAAGTAATTATTTTTTAGTCATTACAACTTTTACTTTTTATTTCAGATGTAAATCAAGATTATCAAACTTACAATGTGGGAAGTAATCAAAACGAACAAGTATCCCCTAATGGGTACAAAGTTTATTGGTGACAACTCCGGTACCCATCTAAACAATGGAGTATCGTACCTAATTCAACTACATAATTCTGATTGATCCATGTGGACAAAGGTATGATACCTAGGTACTTCCTCCGGTTCTTATTTAAGTTCTTAGTTTGACTTCACACATATTAAGAAAATGAATTTGACTTTACTGTGGAGTGCACTGTTTGACACTGTTTGACACTGTTTGGACACTGTTTGACACTGTTTGGCACTGTTTTGCACTGTTTTGTTTCCTAAAATGGAAGTGTGAACTTAAATAAAGGACATCCCAAAAAGGAAAGTGGGAACTTTAATAAGAACCGGAGGGAGTATCATAGAATCTACCAAGTTTAATTTACCCAATAAAGAAATAGCTTATGGTCAAAGAGAATTGCCCAACCCATGGTGATAAAAACAATGAAGATAAAGGAATCTAAGTGGAAATTAAAGCCGAAGCCGTTAGAACTGTTGTAACATAATGGAAACAAAACGAGGATTAACGTCAAACATAATCCTCAATTAGAGGAATAATGCCACGAGAATGACAAGATTCACGGCGAATAATGGACATTCTTACAAATATTTAAGACTCTAAGATGTGTTTTTCCCAGCTGGCAACCACTTGCGAAAATTTAATCATGTTCCATTCTAACGGTCTTTAGAAAGTTGGAGCAATGTATTTGGTGTGTTGTATATAGCCAAATTATTTTATAATACTAGCTTGTAGATCTTTACAACCTAATTTATAACTACTTAGTTTTTAATTATCTTACTATTGTACTTAGTTATATCAATCATATCTATGTCAAGTAACTTGTGATCATAGTATCATAGCTAATCTCCTAAAGAAGAGATCACAGATTCGAGTCTCATCTCAATCAAGAATGTCGACATTATCATTAGTAGATACTATAATAGAGTTAGAAATATATTCCAAAAGAAAACAATGATAAATATTAGTTCTAATAATTTTTAGGGAACTACTTTGTTGATTTATTTTAAAAATTAAAAAAAGTTTAATACTTTAAAAAAATCAACCCAGAACACCAAACCAAAACCGAACTAAAATGGATCCGAACTTGCCAGTTTTGAAAGTGGTACTGTGCGGTTCTGATTAAGGTCGGAACCTGAGACACCCCCATGTGCACGACATCGAGAATTTTAGAGTGAAATGTATAAATGTTATCTTAACTAGCATAGAACCCGTGCATACACATGGAAAAAACCAGTTGATCCATATATTGTTTTATTCACGGTCTAATTTACATCATTTCAAAAATGAAGTACGATAAGTGAATATAAGAAATCATAAATCCATGCAACAAATATTCAATGTAAAAGAATATTAAAATATAAAAAATCGACACCATCCATTAGAATTTGCTATGTAATATAATAATTAGTATTGTTGATAACATATAATGAAATATTGAACTTAATTGTTAAAGTTATGAAAAACTACCTAACAGATAACTTTGAGTAGTAATGTCTTATGACTTTCTTTTCTTATCATATACGTAGTATTAAAATCATCAATCCATATTTTCTAAACTCCCGATAACACCACACAAATAAAGCTTTACATGACTAAAATACGTCTAGGTAGTAGTACTTCATCTTTTGCAGTGATAGAGCTTGATATTTATTGATAGTCATAAATAGGTGATAATTATAGGAAAATGTCTTCTCATAAGTTTAAAAGGCCATGAGAGAAAAAATATGAGAGAGGAAATTCTTCCGATCAATTATTAGTCTGCTTATCTTTATTATTATACCTAAAAGCACTAATATGAGAGACAAAATATCCCGCTCAATTATTAGTCTGCATATCTTATCTTATCTTATACCTAAAGGCATTATGTATGAGACTGAAACATTTCCCCGCTCAATTATGAGCATGTTGATCTTCTTTTTTATAACACACACACCTAAAAGCACAATGTATGTGAGAAAAAATTTTGCCGCTCAATCATTAATCCACTTATCTTTTACCAAAAAGCACCAGGGTTTCACTATAAATAACATTACTTCCATCCTAAAAGGTGATGGGATGCAGACTACCTCCCTTTGTGAAGTAGTAGAGGGTTTCACTAACTATTTCAAAGGTATCTTGGGTACATCAGTTGGTTGTGGGAGTCTGGAAGCTACTACTGCAAAGAAGGGTAATTTGATTAGCCCTTTAATGACTGAAAATCTTCTGGCACCTATATCCCACTGTGAAGTCAAGAATGCTCTCTTTGATAATGGGGATGACAAAATTGGGATGTTGTTGGAAATGATTTTACCCTAGCTGTTCTAAAATTCTTTGAGCATGGCAAACTACTGAAGCAATTCAATCACACCACTATTGCCTTGATTCCTAAAAGCACCCACAATCTCATTGCTGCTGATTTTTAGGCCTATATCATGTACAAATGTTTTCTACAAAACCATCTCCAAAGTCCTGGGTGCAAGAATGAACCCCTTACTTATTGATCTTATTAACCAATCACAGAGTGCTTTTGTGGAAGGAAGAGGCATCACTCATAATATTTTCCTGACACCAGAGCTCGTAAGGGGTTACTCCAGAAAACATGAATCTCCAAGGTGCCTCTTCAAGGTTGACGTAAAAAAGCCTTTAATACAGTTAGTTGGGATTTATTGAAGGACGTTTTGTTGGCTTTTGGTTTTCCCCCTATTTTCATTGGATGGATATTATAATGTATTACCACCACTACTTTTTCTCTCAGTTAGTGGTGGTCTACATGATTTTTTCAAGGGTAGAAGAGGCCTGAGACAAGGCGACCCCATGTCACCGTCCCTTTTCTTACATTGTATGGAGTACCTATCTAGAATCCTGTGCATTCTTACTTCCTCCCAAGATTTCAACTTTCATCCCAAGTGCAGCCAACTCAAAATCTCTCATGTGATCTTTGTTGACGACCTCATGCTCTTCAGTATGGGAGACTTGGTTTCTATCCAAACTATTTTGAAATTTTTGAAGGACTTTCGTATGACTTCTGGGCTTTCTATCAATGTGGCAAAATCTAACATTTTCCTTGCAGGAGTTACTGGACTGGACAAGGAAACTATTCTTGGTTTGGTAGGCTACCTGGTTGGCCAGTTTCCAGTGAAATATTTGAGTATTTCACTAGCTCGTATGCGGGTGTCCATTGCTCAATACTCCCCTTTGCTAGAGAAAATTGAAAAATTCACGAACAAGTGGAAGACAAAATGTATAAGCTATGCTGGAGACTAGTACTAATTAGGCCCGTTTTACAAGGTGTCCAATCTTATTGGATACAAGTCTTTCCCGTTCTCGTTGTTGTCCTGAACAAAATCAGCACTCATTGCAGACAGTTTCTTTGGGGTGGGTCTAATGCTAAGGTAGCATGGATGGATGTTTGTAGACCAAAGGAAGAAGGATGGCTAGGGTTGATGGCATGCAAAAATTGGAATTTTGCCCTCTTGTCCAAAACTCTTTGGAACATTCATTAGAAGAAAGACACCCTTTGGATCAAATGGATACACACTGTCTATTTGAAGGGCACTTTAATTTGGGATTGGACACCTCCCTCTGGGTTGTGCCCTTTGTTTAATAGGCTGATCAAAATCAGAGGAGTTATTTTCCTTGGCAGGAGGGCAAGATGCTTTCTTAAGAAAACTGCACACCTTCTGTTTTCAAGGTAAGCCATCTGCTACCAGAATTTATGATTTCTTGAGAATTAAGGGTACTTCTAAAACGTGGATGAACTTGATCTGGAAAAGATATATTCCCCCAATATACTCCTTCAAATTATGGATAGGGTTTAGAAATAGGCTGCCTACTTCTGACAACCTCATGTACATTGACATGGATAGGACTTGGTTCTTCTGTAAGTCCCATTTAGATTCTGCAGCCCACCTCTTCTTCTTAAGCTCTTTCAGTAGCTTGGCTTGGAAAGAAGTGAGATGTTGGCTGAAATTTAGAGGGAACCAAACAACTCTTCGTAAGGATTGCATTTTGTTGCATTGTTTATATGATTTGGAAAGCTAGAAATGAAAATATTTTTGCACATAAATTAATGACAATACCAGCCCTCTTTGTGCAGATCAAAGTGCAGGTCTATGCATTCTTCTCAGGCTATAACCAACATGTATGATATGATTTTTAAGTTGGCTTTTGAAGCAGCTGTAACTTTGATACTTAGTTTTGGTGTTTCACCTTATTATTTGTCTGAGCACTTGTTTCTGTGATGTTTTTGTTGATCTGGGAATGCCCCATTGCCCTCTGTACACAACACTTTTGTTACCCTTCAATATATTTTACCTTCTATCAAAAGAAGAAGAAGTGGTGTGTTAAAAAAAAAATCACCTCTGATATACTGAGTAATAAATTACCTAAACAATACCCAAAATATAATTACTTTCACAACACACAAGATTAAATTAACTCCATTAAAAGTAAATGTACAAGAATATAACTCTAGACTAGGCTGCTTAAGAATTCATAAACTTATCGTGAATAAGATACTATATGTCTTAATATGTAGTGTGAAGTATTTTATAAAATTAAGTAGAAAGAATATAAAGGTTGTGCAATTATAAGTCTTTAATGAGCTGTAGTTAGAACCCAAAAATCAAACAAATAACACAATGAACATCAATAAGTAAACATTCTTTAGTTGCAAACTTGCAATGAGCAATTGTAGAAAAAAATACAAAAATATCTGGAAGTAAGAATACATCCAATGCAAAAATATAAAGGCTGTACAACTATAAGTCTAGAATGAATTGAAATTGGTCTACTCTACATTAATTAGTAATTGTCCACCTGATGAAGCTGTAATTTTTACATGAATTTGATCGAAAGGAATCGCCGCAAAGAGACGCCGGCGTCGCAATTTCCGGTCCACGGAAGAGCCGCTCAAATCCGAGGCGCACCGCCGGAAGCTGGCCCATTTGACGGGGCACCGGCTGTCAAGAAAGAAAGGAACCCGACGGCCGGAGCATCTTGCTCGTCGAGAAACAGATCTTCCGGGTCACGGAAAGCGGCGTGGATGCAGACAATTGCGACGCCCACCATCAGGGCGGAGACGAGAACCGACCCGACGCTGGTGAGGAAAATCACGACGACGGTGGAGAGGATTAGGCCGCCTAGGGTTTCCCTGTCGGAGAATTGGCGGCCGAAGAGGACCATGGGCTGATCGGAGGGGCGGAAGAGGTACAGGAAGAGCCACGCCGCGAGCAGGGCGGCGAGGAAGACGAGTGAGAGCGGGTTGGTGACGAGAGATATTCCGAGGACGGCGGCGATGAGGGCGAGGTAATTGGTCCTGAAATACGCGTAATTCTTGCGGATGCGGAGAGTCGCATCCGAGAAGGAGTCCGGCTTCGACAAGGCGGAGCGATCCACGAGCTCAGCCCACGGGCGGCGCGTAGATAGCCCTTTACGAACGGTTTCGGAAATGTTATTCAAGAAGGCACGGAAAGCAGAGGTGGGCGCGATTGCGGTTTCAGAGGCGGTGGCGGGTTGCGGGCTGGAAAGCGGGAGAACCGCCGGCGACGAATTGGCCATTGCTTTCGGGTTGGATTGCAGAAAAAGAAGTCAAAATGCGTTTTTACTTGGAGAAAATGAGATGAAATGTTGAATTTTTATACGGAGAGATCAGAGATGGCAACTTATGCCCAATGGATACGGTTTTAGGACAGAAAAGGGAGTATTATTTTAAAACTTTTAAATTAAATAAATCAAAACCGTAATTATCCTAAAATATTTCAATCGGTAAAATTATTCAAACTTTCGACCAAAAATATTATATAGAGAGCAAAATTTCATGCGTAGAATCCACCATATGATATATGATATTGTGTATAGCGTTCCGATTGCAAAGTAGGATTTTTTAGTCATAAATTTGAATAATATTATCGGTTGAAAAATTTATATATAATTATATACTGATTTAATTCATTTAAAAAATACATGTCTAAAACATGTCTGAATAATACCAAAACGCGAAGGAAATACTCAAAAAATCTAAAACATGTCTACCACAAAAAAGTACATGTTTTGATGGAATGATGAAATAAAACAAGCAATACTGACTACAAGATAATGTTACAAAAAGTTGGGCAAGAGTTGGAGTGATGAGACATAGTGGATTACAAGAAGCCTAAAAGAAAAGCAAAGAAAGGGAAGCAAGAATGGAAATCAACAAGGAGTAGTATGTACGATTAAACTCTAAGGAAGGAGAAAAATATACCTAGTATTTACAACTTGCTCATTTTCATGATCGTAGAAATCAAAATATCAGAAAAGGTAAGTGTATGAAGGATGTCGATCAAAGAACACTAATGGAGCACGAGAAAATAAAAGAGAGATGAAAACCGTACTTTAATACCTTTTCAACGGGAACAAAGTGCAAGTATTGATGATCTTATTGTAACAGATTGTATGATAAATCGGGACTTTGTGAGAATGATTCAAACGATTCTATTCTAGTACCTTCATCCTCGTACCTTACCCCTACCCTACCCTAGCCATCCAACCCCCACCCTGCATACCCATTTTCCCTACAATGACCCTACCCCACCCCTACCACATGCCCCTACCTCAGTCCCACCCTGATCCACCCTACCCTACCACCCCCTACCACCCCCTACCACCCCACCCCTGACCGTACCCCTTACTCCACCTCCACCCACCCCCACCCATACCTTCCTTCCCTACCCCGACCCCTACGAGTCGGTATGGGTGGGTATGAAGGATTTTAGGGGAGTATGGGTAGAGTGTAAGATCGTGGTAAGGTTAGGGGTAGGGGTTAAGGGTGTGGAATTGGGTGTAGGGTGGGGGTACGAGGTATAGGGGCAGGGTAGGGTTAGGAGTATGGGTACACGTACGAGGTGATCGACCCCCACATATTATATTATACTAGTATATTTGTATTCATGAATGTTTGTGTGTCTGTATACCTATAAGATTATTTTGGACATTTTAATGTTAAACGGTGTTTTAAACCTTTTTGAAGTAAACATGATCTTATAACATTGCTTATTTTATGCGTCACTTATTAATGCGAGTCTTAATAAGCACCATTTAGTAACCCGTGAAGTAAACATGTCAGTCTTCTGGATGATCACAGAACTGAGTGAAAAAATTGATGAACATGTTTTCAGATTTGAAAATAGAAAACTAGAAAATAGAAACAGAAAAGTGGAGATAGAAAAACTGAAAAATAAAAATAGAAGATTGGAGAACGAAAAAGAGAAGTAGAAAACATGAAAATATCTCTTTTGATAAACAGACCCTAAAATTTTCAAAATTAACACAAAGCTTTCAAAAGTTATCAGTTATTTTACCATTGAAACAGTGCCGAACAAATTTTAGCCGTTGGATTGAGATATTCCTTTCCTGCCCGTTTATTCAGTCCGAAGAGCACCACGCGCCCAGGCCCGGTCCTGACATTTTATGGGCCCGGGACAATACAGATAAAGTAGTCCTTATGAACAACGTGTGAATGTTTATATTTTTTTATAAAAAAAACTATACATAAAATTAATCAGTGCAATTTTTACTTGCAATATAGAATTTTAAATAGTGAAAGACTTGAAAGTTATGTCGTTATGGAGTAACATTTTCATATTTTAAATCAGGTTTTCACTATATCAAAACAAAGTGCAAGTTTCTAAATAATGAATATTATAATTCAATTTTTCACTTACATGAGAGAACAAAAAGAAATTAGCAAAATGTTATCAATGAATCATGGAATTACATGAGAGAAGTAAATGGAAATATTAACATTTATGCGTTAACCTTTAATGATTCTGATGGAGTATATGGGTCTGAGCCCCCGGACCCACATACTCGGAAGAACAGAAAGCACAAGACAACAGAGTGGCGCCCTCGTCGGCCAAGACGCCCCCGTCGGCCGAAAAGGGGCCAACTCGGATTATGATCCTGAGTCCAAGGAACCCGGGTGCCCTCGTCGGCCGTGCCCTCGTCGGCCGTGCCCTCGTCGGCCAAGAAGACCTCCCAGAATCAGATTTTATACTTACTCATTTGTACAGCCCATTAGTGGCTTTGTATTCGGCCCAGTAGCGGTCCAGTTGTAAATGGGCCTCCCAAGCCCAAGACTTGGGAGCCCAGCCCTAATTTTCTCTATAAATACTCCCTTTGGGAGTAGTTATAGGGGTTAAAAAATCATTCTATTGAAGCATATTATTGCACTTCTCTCTCTAGCTCTCACTTCTCTCTAGATATACTCTATCATTTGGTGCTCTCGTTGAGAGCTAGAACAATCAAGTTAGCACCCTTCGTCGCTACCAAGCACAGCTAACCACTGATCATGGGGAGAACTAAGTCAAACCGCAACCTCGTCAGCAAAGCCATCCCTGAGGACCAAGAGCCCAGGGAGCACGATGAGGACGCCACGGCCGCGGCCTCTCCGTCCGTAGATCCACAGGTCCAGGCCGCGCTGTCGGCCATCATCGCCAGCCTAGCTCAGAACCCCACCGTCCTCAGCGCACTCTTGCCAAGGACCGGGGGGAACGTCACTCAACCTCCTCAGCACCAACCGTTGGCCGTCCACATAGGCAACGATGAGGGGGTGGTGCCCCAGGACACGGCGTCGTCCCACTCCCACCCTGCTTCCCCTCTTCGGCCCGGGCAGACCCCAGCGCGTGGAAAAGCCTCTGCCTTCAATAGGCTAGGTGACACGCGTCGTCGTCCGGTTTCGGAGAGGATGGCGGGACGGATTGGTGATCCTCGTCCTGGCTCGCCAAGGGAAAGCTTGGGGTCTGTGTCCCGGACAGCGGACCAGCCCCGCCCGGATAAGGGCAAGGGGAAGTTGCACGAGGATGACGTGCGTCACCAGATCAACGCGGCTCACAACGAGCGCCTGAGGAACCAGCCGGGCGCCGCTGCGGCCGACAGGGACCCCCGGGACGAGGTCATCGCCCAGCTGGAAAGGAGGCTGGCTCAGATGGAGGCCAAGCAGTCGGCCAACATCCCTACGGCCGGCGCCTCCAACGACCCCGACCTCAACGCGCTCATGAACAAAGTTAGCGCCCTGGAGAGGGAGCTGGCCGAAGGGCGGGGTGACCCCATCATCCAGGTCAGGACTAGGACCCCTTTCACCAACAGGGTCCTCTCGGCCCCCATCCCTGAGAAGTACAGGGGGAACGCCATCAAGTCCTACGATGGCCGGTCAGACCCCCAGGAGCACTTCAGCCGCTACCAGAACAACATGCTGATGGTGAACGCGTCCGACGAATACCTCTGCCGTTGGTTCCTCTCTACTCTCGAGGGGCCAGCGTACGGGTGGTTCAACGGGCTCCCAGAA